AATATTGAACTCAGTATAAGCCCTGTAAGACATAAAATTGGATGAGTTTTTAACCTTTAAAAAAGATCTCCATTTCATTTTAGAGTATATTTTTTCCTTGCAGAAAGACTCATTGTTTTTGCTACTAACACTGAGATGTTGGCGCTTGCATCTCTAATCTGTATCTGATTATTACTAGTCATAATCAGATCCTTGGTGCCTGTGTATGTCTATAAAGTCATCAGGCAGATTTCAATGATATTGTTTATCACCTCTACTAATCAGCATGACACAAATTTCCATGCTTCCTCCTCAAATATAATACATTTTTTAAAAATTTGATTTCTGTGTGTATATTACACAGAACATCCCAAACTACCTCATTCGACAATACCCCCACTTCCTAGACGGCACCCTCCCATAGAATCCCTCCCCACACTAGAGCCCTTAGACTCTGATATCCCTGCTACTCTCTGCTATGCTGTCGGCATCCCCAGCCATTCCCCACTACTTGTCCATCTGGTGAATCTAGTCAACCTATCTAGAAGTCTTTGTTTTAGGAGGGTCCAATTGACATTAAGATGTTTGCACATGCGTTTCTAATCTCTATATACCAGATTATTACTAGTCACAATCGGTTAGGTTCTACGCTGGGTTACTATCTGGGAGTCTCTTTGGCCACCCTGGCCAACAACTCAAAAGAAGGTTATCGCCTGTCTGGCATTGCTGCTTGTTATATAGCCTTTAGCTATGCATATGGACTCTTAAGAAATTATATTGGCCCTTTTAATCTTTGGTTATACTTTCCTTTGGGTGCTTGAGGCCATACAATTGGTCCAGATAAACCGATTTATTTTTACTCTTAAGGTCATTTGAGGATCTGTTCCTCAGGGGTCACATAGTCTTGGGAGGAGCCCCTGGCTCCTTTCTTTTACCAGTTCCAACTATGTGAAGATAAGTCAAATGTCCTGCTCGACCATGATTGGCTTCGCTTGGAAGCATGGAGGAAGTGATTTCTCTGTGTTGACCCTCCTGTTTATAGACTGGATACTGGTTCAAGTCCATCTGGTGGGGTCTCCTCAGCCTCCTTGATCAAGAGGACAGGTGACACACCACAATCACAGGGCATTTTGAGAGATGCTCATAGTCCACTGGAACTAGTTGACCTAGGAGGGCTATGTAGACCAGGCTGGCCTCGAACTCACAAAGATCCACCTGCCTCTGCCGGATTAAAGGCGTGAGCCACCATGCCCAGCAGTTTAGTTTCACCAGTCTGGTGCTTTTAATTACTGTGTGCCATCTTGGGCAAAGACCAGTTGCTCTCAGATAAACCTTACCTAGACATATATTTCTTGATGTGCTATGTATAATTTGTCAGTAGGTTGTAGGAGTAATATGGTCCCCTCTGGTTTTCAAAACTAGCTAGGCATTATTTATCTCTCACATTGTCTCACTCCTCCACCATAGTTTTCCCACTTAAGGTGCCCCCATTTCCCCCCTTTCTCCCTTAATAATACCCTTCTCCTATGGCCCTACCTCTCTTAGGCACCTTCTTTCCCTTTATCCCCTAGGTTCCTTGTATACCCTTCCCTCCTCCCTCCCTTAAACTAGCCAAAGTTTTATCCATATCTCCCTTATTAATGCCTGTTTCCTACCTGCAAATTTCATGATTTCATCTTTCTTTACTGCTGAGTAAAACTCCATCATATAAATGAACCACATTTTCATTTTCCACTCGTCAATTGAGGGACACTATGTTGCTTCCATCTCTTAGCAATTGTGAAAAGAGCAACAAACATGGATGTACATGTGTCTCTGCAATAGGATTTCTTTGGGAATATGCCAAGGAGTGGTATAACTGGGTCAAATGTTAGGTTCATTTGTAGTTTTTTAACTGTTCTCCAAGCTGCTTTCCATAGGGGTTGAACAAGTTTGCAGCCCCACCAGCAGTGGATGAGCGTTCCCCT